AGCGCATCAGCACGTGAATGACATGTTTAACGAGCAAGACTTTGACGCACATGCAAACAATCAACTTTTGTGAATTGCAGTGTCCCGTGAGTGTAACTCTACCTCTGCGTTTACATGTGATGTGATGTGAATGTACGTCGCGTTGTACAGTATGTTGAGATGAAGGCGCCAGAATTGAACTGATAGAATGCACGATACTATGATTTTTCTTCAAAAGCAGATCGTGGAGACATTTTAATCGTCCACGATCAAAAACCGTGAGACGCACACTCCTAGTTGGAAGTTTAAGTTGCTGGCGCTCATGCTTCGTTCATGGTCGTCACGTGCGCATAGTAAACACGCCACCCTATCGGCAAGACTCATCGGCAGAAATATTCATATCGCCGATGCCGATGATGGTCATTTTAGCTTTTATCGGCCGATACCGATGTTGTCCCGATATCATCGTGCATCCCTACTACCCAACATTAAAAACGAAAACAACTATCACATAAATATAGTTATAAGTCTTCGTACCATAATGTGTTTTTTGAGATTAGAGGCTGAAGTCTTGTAAGCCGAAATCACTGCAGATGGCAAACAAAGTTTGCATTGCATTTGTGCGGCCAAGGGCACTCGTCATCCGGTATTTCTTCGGAATTTTCAATGAATTCAGCGTCTCGAATCTCCATGTCCATAACGCCAAAGTTCTTTGATAACACAAAAATACACCTTCACAGTGAAGGACGTGCGAGGACGAATAGCTCTCCAGAAACCGGGCTTTTTCCCCGGTCCAAATACAAGGGTTTTTATTGGCCCACCCACGATCAGTTACTTCTATTGGATACCCAAATGCTGGTCAAAGATTTGAAAATTAATTTAATTCAAATTGTACAAGTACTTAGTAACGAATGTGATTTTTAAAGTAGCGAAGTACATTACTTAACTTAATTTGTACTTAAGTACAAGGAAAATTACAGACTTAAAAATATACTCATGAAAGTACAAGTACACGAAAAAACTACTTAATTACAGTAACGTGAGTAGTTGTAATTCGTTACTTCCACCTCTGAGTCTCAGCCTGCTGCATATTCACTCCAACAGGAACCTCTCCATCCATCAGTACAATTGCTGAATTATTCAATCCGTTTCCTCTAGAATCTGAAATACAAAGACATTAAAAAAAGTCAGTCAGACATCAAAACTAATGACAAGAAAGGAAATTAAAGGACAAAGTTCAGTCTTGTTTGAGCACTTGTTCTTTTCTAACAAATTAACACGATTTGTGAACTCAGTCTTCCGAACTTCCACACCAAGTAACATTTGATTTTAATAGACTTGGAATTTAGTGCATATGGACTTCTTGGTCCTTTTTGGAGACTGACACTAAATGGTAGAATCTCCTTTTATTATTTGGAAAAAAGCTGAAAGAAGATACTTCCACAGAATAAATAAAGTTAAGTTTAGCAAGTAAATGGTGACAAAATGTTTATTTTTCAAAGAAATGGCTTAAGTCACTTTAACTAATAAAAAGAGTCAACTTGAAAGAGTTGATTTACTCACCACTGAGAGTAACACTGAATTCCCAGCTAATGTTCTTTCCGCATCTGTTGCAGAGGTTTAGATAATAAACTCCAGTGTCGCTGGTTTTGGTGTCTTTGATGGTGAGAGATCCAGTTTGATGGTGAAGCTCCAGTCTGCCTCTGAATCTCACATCACCACCGTAAAAAGTCTTACTGATGTCTCCATTCATTCCAGTAGTGAGAATTTTATCTTCAAATCTCCACTCCACTTTCTCATCTCTTTCTACCTTAAAATCAGTGATTAAAACTAAACATTCTCCCGCCATCCCTGACACTGTCTTGGGGCCGGACTCACCTGGAGAACAAACAGAGAAAGTTACTCGTACAGACACTGATTGTGACGATTGGCAGCTGTAGTGCCCTCGAGAGCCACTGGAGGGCACGCTCTCATTGTGTTATGTTTTCCCCATGGACTCATTATGTTTTATTATGTTCAGCTGTGTTTCATTATTGGTTATTGAGTTCCTGATTTAAACCTGTGTTTCTCCTCTGTCCTTTGCGAAGTCTTGTTACACTGTAAGCATGCATTTCTGAGCGTTATTCCCTGTTCTGTTTCTCCGTGTTTCCCTGGACTCTCGACCTTTGCCTGTATCCTGGACTGTTTGTTTGCGAACCTGTGCTGCCTGCCTCGACCTACACCTGTTAACACCCCGAGTTATTGGATTGCCCTTGTTTATTTGTGTGCCTGGTTCATTTCTGCTTATGTTCCAGTTCTAATAAAGTTCTGCACATGGATCCGACCGCCTCTGTCCGTACGTTACACTGATATTACACTGTCAGGAGACTGAGGTCTCATGTCACTTGATATAGTCTACATTTACTGCATTTAATAAATATAGTATTAATGAGTCTTTATACATGTGAACAATATTAAATGAGATGTTATAAAGACATCATGGGTGTTTCCAAAATTATATTGGCGTAATTGGTTCCTGGACCCCAATTTGAAAATGCATGTTCTGTACAATCCAAATTCAGAAAATGATCTACTGTGCTCCGTCTTCTTGATGTGCATGTAGCTACGCAAACTGACGATCGTTCATTGAAACTTTCTGCAAATGGAAATTCTCGCGTGACGTTCTCACATTTACAGATAATGATACAACCGTAAAATGTACGTTATGTGCAGAGGAAATATGTATGAAACATTAAACAGATGCACACATCTGTCAGGGAAAGGCAAAGACGTGTTAAAGTAATAGTTTGTCTAAAATGCTTGATATAAAGCATTCTTAGCTTGCCTTATATCGTGCACTTTTCCTGCGGGATCTCACTCCATGTCCTCCTGTATTTTTCTGATGCCTTTTGTCTATAGAAATACGTTACTATTATTTCACTACTGTTAAGTGACGTCATTTGTGAATGATCTCTGTTCACTGTATGCAGACCTGATTAATAGATAATCAAATTCATTGTAGATTGGTTCCTTCTGTTGTTTTTGCAGATCTTTTCATGTTTTAAAGGGGTCATATAATGCCATTTTTGTACAAGCTAATATGATTCTTTAGGGTCTAAATTAAAAGTTTGTAATATACTTTAATTAAAAATTCTTATTAGTATTGTAAGAAAACACTAATTTTACCTGGTCAAAAACAGCTCTGTTTTCAGCACGCCATTTCAGTGTATATGACTTTAAATGATCATGAGCTTTGCTCACCCCGCCCCTCTGTTCTGTGCATACACCAGAGCCGGCTCTGGCGTACACCGTTTGTAACACAATAACACAATAACCATAACACGTTGTTCAGTATAAACGTGGGATTATGCATTATATTGAGAACGTCATACATAGAAAACATGCCATAATGTACCCTGAGTGTAAACCTTAGACGCATTCATTATGAAGCGTGCAGCTAGCGATTTGCAAGGATTAATATAAATATTAATATAAAGTTTAATAAAACGTTACACTCACTTCAGTTGTTCTAGAGGTTCAGCAGGAACACGAACCTGATACCGATCTTTTTTCATGAGCAGCTTCCTAGCAAAACCAGCTTTATACCTCCTCGCTTATAAAGCAGTCTGGTGTGTGAAATGATTCGCGCAAACATGAGAGCATTGACGTTGCTCGTAGGGAATATTCCCTTCGAAAACAAACTCAGCCACTGCGTCTTCGGCGGTTCGGATTTAGGAACATTAAAATGACTGCTGTGTTCGTTATTACACCCAAGAACAGAACACCACAATCGCTTTGACGCCATTCTGCTCATAGACAGTGCTCCAGCATATAAACAATGACCGCGCCGGTCCGCGCAGACTATGATTGACAGCTCTCACGAGCGAGGGCGGGTCTGTGTTGAAACGCGGCTGTCAATCTACAATCGTGGGAGGGGCGTGCGAGCCTGTGACGTCACAGGCTCGAACGGCTCGATTTGAGGCAGGGGAAAACATATAAGGAGATTAAAACAAAACCACTGGATGGATTTTTATCATTATATGATGGCTGTGTACAGACACTGCCAACACACATTTCAGTACAATCAACTTGTAAAAGTGCACGTACCATTATATGACCCCTGTACATACTGACATACTGTATACATTTTACTCATCATTTCTTTAGCAATAATGTATTGCAATAATAATAGTACTTATACAATTTTCTTAAAAGGAAATTGAAAGACTCACAAGACTTGAAAACTCTGAATGTCCTGTATGACGTCCTCTTGCTGCTGATGATCTGTAGATTATAAGGTCCAGGTGTGATGTTACTGATGGTCAGAGATCCAGTGTTCTTGTTCAGCTTCAGTTTGTCTCTGAATCTCTCGTCTGCTGATGCATATGTCGTCTTTCCGGTCTCTCCGGTCAGTTGAGCGATGAGATTGTCTTGATCTCCAAACATCCACAGGATCAGATCATCTCTCTGTACTTCAGTGTCAGGGTTTAGAGTCACATTATTTCCCCTCATCTCTATTGTCTTCAACACTGTCACATTTGTGACAGTAGCACAAAGAACAAGAGAAATACAGAGAAAAGGTTTACATTATATAAGTGCGTGTGCATGTGGGCATCATAGTTTGAAAGTACTTCACAAACATTATTCAGAGGGAGATTTAAAATCAGCTCGAAAATTAACCTTACATATTACTCTCAGTTTGCTGCATCAAAGACAATTAATCCAGGTGGGAAGACTGTACAATTTAGCTTTATTTACAGAATTCTACTTTAAATAATGACTGAATGAAATACTCAGGGAGGTAAGGCAGCAACAGAACTGTTTATTTGACAATGCAGTTCAGTGGGAGATTTTGAAACTTGAATCTTAGGGTGTGTTCACACTTGGCAGTGTTTGGTTCAAATTAACAAGTCAAATTAAAAAGAAAGACTTGAGATACTCACCTCTGACAGTAACATTGCATCTCTTGATTTTGGTCAATTTACTGCTGCTGATCTTCAGAGTATAGACTCCTTCATATTCAGGTGTGATGTTTCTGATGGTCAGTGATCCAGTGTTCTCGTCCAGCTGCAGTCGGTCTCTGAATATCCTATCAGCAACATCAAATGTGGAGATCTTTCCAATCCCTCCTTTGATTTCAGCTATGAGAGAGTTTTCATCTCCAAACAGCCACAGCAACTCATCTTTTCTCTGTATTACTGCATTAGTCTTCAGAGTGACAGACTCTCCCTCTTTGGCTGACACTTTCTTCACTTTATATCATGGTAGCAAATAGAAACAGGGAAATGATAAGGGTATGTGACGTGTCAGTAAAGCTCCGTTGAGGATGTGTGTGTGTGTGTAATGCTATTGGTAAGAACAAACTACAAAACAATTATTTTTAACAAATATAACATACACTAATGAGCCAAAACAAAAATGACCAGTCACAGGTGAAGCAAATATCTTTGATCATCTCATAACAAGGCCACATATTAAGGTCTGGATAGATTAGATGCTAAGCAAACAATCAGTTCTCAGAATCAGACAAGTTTATTTAGGATTTTACACAAATTCGTATTACAGAAGCAAATATTAAGTTGATTTAAGATTCTTATCCTATCTTACAAAATCTGATCTGTAGTTAGTTGTACTGTGATGTAAAACGGAAAAATTGGAGAATGGAGAAACAAAATAACTGGTGCTTTTTCGTTCTTTTATTTCATAGGAGTCTGTAATTATTTGTCATAGTTTTGTTGTGAAAGTGCAGCACACCATTTGGGTGTTCACAAAGTCTTTCCACCATCAAACATCACTGTTCTTCATCTATCATTGATAAATGTGACACCATTCTCAGACAGGGCAATTATTATGTGATTTTTACAGTTGGCTTTTGAAGTTAGGACACCATTGGGGTTGTCCTAAAGTTAAGACCGTTTTTAGGATTTTTTTGTGGATACATACAGTTAGGATGCTTCTGTAATACCCCTTTCCTATCCGTAGTTAAGATAAGATTATGCACTGAAGAAAAGTCATTTTGTAATTGTTTTTGTCTTCAATGAGGTCCTATCTGAAATTGCCAAGGTTACCAAATCGATAAGATAGGATTCTAAAGTTAGGAGTTTTCTGTAATGCGTCCCCAGATCTCAATCCAATTGAACATCTGTGTTGAACCAACAATTTGACCCACGCCAGCTCCACCACGCAAACTACAGGACTTGAGGGATCTGCTGCTAATGTCTTGGTGCTGCAGGACACCTTTAGGGCTCTTGTAGAGTCCAGACCTCATGCATCGGCAGGTCAGAGCTGTTTTGGCAGCACGTGGAGGACCAACAGCATTTCAGGAAGATGATCATAATGTTTTGGCTCATTAATTATGATTAACTGGGCCAGTAATTTCCTGTACTGCATCAATTCATCATTTTGTACACCATAACATTTAATAAATTGAGGAAAATACAAAAATAAATGACACATTGCAGTTACTCAATGTGCACTTTAACTATTAAAATTCAGTTTTGTTCATTTCGAAGAATCACACAAAGATAAATAAACAACTACTCACAATTTATGGCAACTTTGAATCTCTTGTTTGTGGTTCCTCTGTTGCTGCTCATCTGTAGCTTGTAAAGTCCAGAGTGTTCAGTTCTCGTGCTCTTGATGGTCAGAGATCCAGTCCTCTTGTCCAGCTTCAGTCTGTCTCTGAATCTCCCATCAGTACCTTCATATGTTTCTCTGGTCTTTCTAGTCATTTGAGCTATGCGAGTGTCTCCATACATCCACACTATCAGATCGTCTTTCTGTATTTCAGTTTCAGGGTATAAAGTGAGCGGTTCTCCCTCCACCCATGATATCAATGCGACTTAATATGTGACACATAGAAAGATAAAAATACAAAGAAAATGTTTCTATTAGATCAAGTTTGCCAAGTGTAACCAGCCAGTCTATTTGAAGTAAACAACTATAGTACAGAAAAATATATGCTCGAAAACATTACCCCCACATCTCGCCCAGTCCCTTCATTAAAGGTTTACATAGCTCCGTAAACTGACTCATTCTTAGTTTCAATCTGTGTGTTATCACGTAAATCTACCTAACTGTCTGTAACCATTCTGCAAGTGTTGTGGCATTTTCTACTTATTAGCATCTAGGAGTATTCATAAAAGATACATATTCTGTTATCACTCCGTATTAAAATTCCCCAAAATGATATTAAGGAGTCTCTGAACAAACTAACTCGAACATTTTTATTCATGAGCAAAAATAAAGTCCAATAAGGATATAGAATGGGACCATGGGAAAAGATATTAGAATGTGTAGCTATTACTTTCTGAATTAGGAGGACATTTTTTTGTAGCCATTAAAAAGGCTAACACCTCCTTCTCAATGGTATTGTAGTTTAACTGATGTTTCAGGAATTTCTTCGAAAAGTACCAAACGTTCAATCCCATTTTCATCATCCTGCAGAAGGACAGCACCACCACCTGTAGCACTTGCATCAACATCCAACTGAAATGCACATGAATAATTTGGGGCCGATAAAACAGGCGTTTTTAGGCCAGGGAAACACATATAAAAGTTCCCCTTCCAACGCATCGGCCAATCAGAAAAACTGATCGGCCGATGCCGATATTTAAAAAATGCCTTGGCGATATATCGGTCGACCACTATGTTCGCGGTAACGGTCCAACACAGTCCAAGATTACTCGTGCAAAAGGCTCTCCTATATGATAGGGATAGGTTTAAGTAGTGCAGGATGTATAATCTAAGTTAGGTTTTCCTACGACCTGACACACGTGGCACGAGCGACAGTACTGTGCCACATCAGATTGTTGTGATCTTGCTATATTATCATTGGCCACACTCAGAACTTGTTTTCGAAAACACTTATGCAAATCCAGCTGAAAAACAGTATCCCAACCTAAACCATCAGACCCTGCTGGAGTCCACTTTCTCTTTAACACCTCGTTGTCCCAAAAGAAACCTATCGATTTATTCTCCATCTCCTTCACATTGAACGCTACATTCCTGCAACGCAATAAGGTAGTGTCTTTTTTCTGTTCAGCAGAAATCACGTCTCTATTAATGGACAACGACAGATCAGCTGATTCTAGTTCAGCACTACTAGTCACGGACAGCGACTCAGGGCCAGACAGCTCAAGTTTTACAATGCGAACTTCATCTTTAACCTGGTCCTCAGCTGCCAAAAAGGTATCCGAAATATCAATCGAATCACCAAACTTACGCGCTATAGCCCACGTAACTACACACGCAGCAAACACTGAAGGAAACACTGATGCTAACTCACCAGAAGTAATGGAATCATACACAGGGTTTTCAATTACCTCGGGAAATGGGAGTACTTTCCCTCCAGCGAGATCGTTACCTATAATTAAGGCCACGCCATAATTCACAGGTAACTTATGCCGCACTGCCAATTTTACACAGCCTGTTACTAAACCGGATGGAATGTACACATTATGTAACAATACTTTCAACACCCCCAACTCAATCCCTTGAATGAGAACATCAGATCCACAATAACTTTTATCAGAAAATGGCAACATACTAGCCAACACAAACGACTGATTGGCCCCTGTATCCCGCAACATGGTAACAGGAACCAAGTCTCGCTCAGATCCACTAAGAGAAATTATTCACTGACACAAAAAAAGGATCATACGCGGCATCAATATTCAAACTAAGTTGACTGCCAGTGTTCTTAACAAAACCAACACTTTTGGCTGACTTCCCTTTATTTTTATTTTTCAGTGAGGGACAATTCGCAATAAAATGACCAAGTCCGTGGCAGTAAAAACATTCATGGACTTCAACTGGTTTTACTTGCTTAGGTAAACTTTCGAAATTTTAGCATTTTTCTCTGAGGACGGAGAATAAAATTTGCGACGTACAACAAACGCATTTTGTGAGTCAGAGTAAACTCATCTGCACAGACGGAAGACTCAGCAAAGTAAAACAAAGTGTTTCACATTTTATTGGTGCAAAGATGGTATGTTTATATTTATAAAAAAATTCCAATTGCTTTTTATCACTTATTAGAAGCACTATGTAAGGACTGAGCGTAGGGTGAATCTGAATAACTAAATACATCCTGCTAAAGACCCAAAAAAGCCTGGAATGTGAATTACACACACACGCATCCCCCCACAAGTGAAGCCCGCTCAGGACAGAGTGTGGTGTCCAGTTACGAGACATTTTTATGGCTGACTTGAATGTGATTCCAAAGAGAAAGAAACTTCTTTTCTTTAAAAGACATTTAACCAGATATATTCGATGTGTTTTTTATGTGTGTCCATTTGCCCATGTCACATTGTAATGACTATAATTTTTCCGTAACTTAAAAGTGAATTATAAATACCCTAGATGTATTTTAATGTAAATGTTTACCTATAACAGTCGTGTTTGATATCGTAAAAATGCCCTGGACTTGACTCAGCCAGATATATGTATGAACACACCGTAAAAGGTATGATTATGTGCATAACACATCTCTGCAGTAGAAATGACCATTTCTAACACAGGTCATAATTTAATTAGACAAGCAGTCTGACAAGACAAAGAGAAATAAAACCCAAAGTCCCGCCTGTAAACTTCCAACCCTCTAATTGGCCAAGCCAACAGGAAGAGGCTGGATTTCTCCAAAAGTGATAAATGACGCTTCCCCCCTCCGCTCGCTTACTCTTGTCATAATGTAAAGTCTCGCCTCCGGGCGAGCTCTTCGCCTTTCTTTTTATTTGTTTCTAGTTTCGTTTGTGTTTTTCAGTTTTAGATAAGTCTCCGTGTTTAATTCCAATCGACGAGTGAAAAGAAAACCGCGTGACATATCTCTTCAGCAAATCCATCTACAAGGGACCTTTAAACGAGCGCGCGCTCGCTTTGAAGGAGAAACACGAATATACGTTGGCGCTGCGTGAGTAGCGACATGCAGTAGTGGTCTGTTTGTTTTGTTTGTTTTTTCTTTAATTTTGTTAGTAATCGTTAGGCCGAAACACAACTATTTGGCTAAGTTTATCTTTTACTTCTGCTGCCTTGTTCAATGCTCTAAAAAACTGAAATGGAATTACTGCTTCTTATTGTCATGGGAACTGTGTTCGCTGTGGTTCAGTGTCTGTTTGATCCTTGCCATCCGCACACGGGCAGAATTCAGTACCCACGAGGGTTTCTGCTGAGCCTAAAAGACCAACAGCAGCTACCAACACACTTGGAATTATTCAAAGAAGACGGCTTCATTAAAGACATCCTTCGTCACAATGACAATGAGAATTTCACTACACGGGACAGAAAATGCAAAGTGCGGAAAAGAGGAAGACGGGGAGGCGTCAGGCAGAGGCTTAAGCGCCTGGGACTTAACCGTATACCCCTCCCCTCCATACTACTTTGCAATGCCCAGTCTATCAGGAACAAGATCGAAGAGATCCAAGCTAACGTCAGGCACTTGGAGAAATACAGAGACTCTTGCATTATGACCTTCACCGAGACCTGGCTTACTTCTGCGGATTTAGAGACTGACTTGACTCTCAGTGGCTTTGGTGCGCCGATCAGGCTTGACAGAGACGCTGACGTCACAGGGAAATCCCAAGGGGGCGGTGTCTGCCTATATGTTAATCAACGGTGGTGTAAAAACGTCACTGTCAGAGAGTCTGTGTGTACCGCGGACATTGAGTTGCTGTCAGTGTCTGTGCGCCCCTTCTATCTGCCCCGCGAATTTCCTCAAATATTTGTCACTGTTGTGTATATACACCCTAAAGCTAACGCAAAAGCCGCAGTGGCAATTCTTCACGAGGTGACACATAAGCTTCAGTCCCTCTCTCCTGATGCCCCTTGTTTTATCCTTGGTGATTTTAATCACAATCTCAAATCAATGAGCAACTTTTATCAATATATCTCATGCCCTACCAGACTGAACAAAACTATTGACCTATGTTATGGTTCAGTTAAAGGTGCATATAAATCCGTAGCTCTGCCTCCTCTTGGTTCCTCTGATCACAACACTATCTCTCTTATTCCAACCTACAAGCCACTCCTTAAAAGGGGTAAAGTGACTACAAGAGAAGTGGAGATGTGGACTGAAAATGCTGTTGAGGAACTTAGAGGAGCCCTTGAAAGCACAAACTGGTATGTTTTTATCAATTCATCTACTGAGCTTGATGATATGGTTGAGGCAGTTTCCTCTTATATTCTTTACCTAAAAGACTCTATTATTCCAACTAAAAGGGTGACGGTGTTTCCAAATAATAAACCCTGGTTAGATAAAGCAGTAAAGGATGCACTGCACAAGAAACATAATGCTTTTTTACATGGTGAGGAGAGGGATAAGGCAGAAGCCAAAAAAGAGGTAAAATATGCAATTAAAAGGGCAAAACTCCAATATAAGAGTAAAATAGAGGATACATTTCATAGCAATAACTTAAAAGCTGTATGGGATGGCATGAAAGCCATGACGTGCCAGCAAAATACGTGTAATAGATCAATCTCTATTGACGGTTTTAACTCAAACATAGAGCTTGCAAATGCTCTAAATGATTTTTATTTATGTTTTAATGACGAACATGATTTTACAAATGCGCAGAGTGATCTGTTTGATGGTTTGAGTGATTGTGCAGCCCCCTCTCAACCTACAATCAGTGCCCATTCTGTCAGATCTATGTTTTACAAATGTAATATCAGAAAGAGCCCTGGCCCTGACAGGATAACTGGTAAAATCCTAAAAGTCTGTGCAGATCAATTATGTGACATTTTTTCTGATCTTTTTAACATGTCACTTTCCCAGCATAAGGTCCCAACACTTTGGAAGGAATCTGTGGTTGTACCTGTGGCCAAGAACAGATACCCAAAAGAGCTTAATGACTTTAGGCCTGTAGCCTTAACATCAATAGTGATGAAGACTTTTGAGCGATTAGTCAAGCAAATCCTGTCTGAAAAGGTTCATGGTATGCTTGACCCAATGCAGTTTGCATATCAGGTTAACAGAGGAGTAGACGATGCTACCACTACCCTACTTAATCTTCTGTATAAGCATCTTGAGGGGAAAAAAACCCATGCAAGGCTTTTATTTGTTGATTTTTCATCAGCATTTAACACAATCCAAACACACCTTTTAGTAAGGAAACTTGTGTCTATTTTTAACCTTGATCCAGGTATAGTAAAATGGGTACTGGATTTTTTAACATGTAGGCCCCAGTCAGTTAGCGTTAATGGCGTTCTATCTCAGAAGCGATTGTCATCTACAGGCTCACCCCAGGGGTGTGTCCTGTCCCCACTATTGTATCTTCTATATACAAATGACTGTAGGAGTCACTACAATAATAGGGTTCTTCTGAAGTTTGCGGACGACACAGTATTAGTCAGTTTGCTCCAGGATGGTGAGGTCGACCATGGGCCTGTTTTGAACGATTTCGTTGATTGGTGTGACCACCACTTCTTAAAGTTAAATGTCATTAAAACCAAAAACATGGTCATAGACTTCAGAAAAACTCTCCACTTTACCTCTTCAACAATAATCAAGGGCTCACCTATTGAGACAGTGGAGTGTTACAAATACCTCGGAACAGTAATTGACAAAAATTTGAACTTTGACCTTAACACTTCTGCTATCTATAAGAAGGGTCTACAGAGGCTTCATTTTCTGCGCAGACTGAATACTTTTAATGTGGACAAAACTCTGATGACTCTATTTTATAAATCTTTTATCGAATCCATTTTGAATTTTTGTTGTATAGCTTGGTACGGAAATCTTACGGTGCAAAGCAAAAATAAATTATTTAACATCATTAAAGTAGCCAGCAAAATAATTGGAATTAAACAGCTTTCCTTGGCAGACATCTATAAAAGACAAGTTATACGTAAGGCTCAGACTATCATAGCCAGTTCTGACCACCCTCTGTGGGAGGAATTTGTTCTTCTCCCCTCTGGGAGAAGATACAGACTGCCCAAAATAAAAACTAATAGATACAAATTTTCTTTTGCACCTACGGCAATTAATGCCCTAAATTTGTTCTGAGCCTGAGCGATTGCTCAAAATTACAGATTGTTGAGGCTATCATTTCAACTTGAGTATTTTTACACAAACAAAAAAGGTTGTATATAACGGCTGTTCTTATCTTTGTTTATGTCTCATGTATGTTTGTTTTTTAACCCTACTGCAAATCAAATTTCCCCGAGTGGGACAATAAAGACTGAACTGAACTGAACTGAACATGCGCACGTGACCGCGTGACGCGACGGACCGAGAGATGCACACGCGCTTCTTCACCAGCCATGCAAAGATGTAACGTTAACTCCGCGTGATTTCCCCGTAGAGATCTTTCTTTCTTTTTTGTTAGTCAAAGTTTTGTTTTCCGTAGTTGACTCAGTTCACTTCCCTGAAGTGAAACGAACTTAGCCGAACTATTTCCCTTTGGTAATGTTACCCCAAAGACTTTGAACCTCCGTTCAACACGCGCGCCAAGCAGCCCACGTGACGCTTCCTCACACACAAAGGACTCAGCTCACGCGGCCAGACAGGGCCGTACAGGAATGCTTGGACACAGAGAGACCATAACATAACTTGAGCAAGTATAATCTCTTTATAGAGCTTCTAAGAAGCTTTAAGATGATGTTTTGTGTTGTAATCGGAGAGGTGAATGTCTTAGGAGGAATTCTGTCAATGTTCTCTCTCTCCCCCTCCCTCTCTCTCTCTCTCTTACTCGCTCACGCGTGTAAGTTATCCATTGTCCAAACTTTACGCATTTCTCGTTCATTGATGTCTTATTGTATTATTCATTGATGTCTATGTGTTTGTAAATACATATATATCCCGTGTAACCGTAGTAAATACATAAGTAGTCATGCCTCTATTAAATTAATTATATATTCATTTGATTGATGTACTTTGCTCAGTTTCAAGTCCCTTAAAGTCCCACTCCGATCATATTTTTGAGCTATTTTTAAACATTCCCAGTGGTCTTTAAATTATGATTATGCCATTTTTAGCCAAAATCACAAAACCTGTGCCGTTTTCTGGGACTTTGCTTCAGCAGAGCGGCAGTAGCTCATTAGAAATTCGCCTCTGCGTTGTGGGCGGAGCCGTTGGCACGGAGACGACCCTCCCCCTCCCCGTTGCTGAGAGCTCTGTCTCTCCTGCTAGCTTAAATCCCCAAACTGTCAATACCGGTGCAACAAAAATGGAGAACAATATTGGAGCTATCCAGCCGTACAGTTTTGAGCCAGATGCCAGCTCGGACGAGGAACAAGAGGACGTACATAGATCTAGTCGTCGTCTACAAGTGGATGTATCAGAATGGTATTGTTTTTGTAATCTCTTGAATTGACTATTTCAGGCCAATAACTCCTAATAACATGTTAGTAAATAAATATGTTTGTGGACATGCTCCAAACATTTAGTCAGATTAACCTTTTTGAAGTTGATAGTGTCTTGATGGAAGGCACTGCATCCGGCTTCAAAAACAATTTATTGACGAAGCCCATTTTCTTCTCCTGCCAGTTGGTGAAACAGTCTTCTGTAAAGTGCTGAACGCAAACCGATGTGTGGTTTTTAACATTGCCGTGACCAAGGAACGTAATCCATCTATCTCTCACAGCAACATGTTTTGGTAAAGCATGAAAGCTAATACCACTATTTCTCCTCTTAGCATTGCAACCCGCTACCGCACATAGGTGTTGATCCGCCATCGTCTTCTCTACTCCTCAGAACCTGAGCGGGCGTGGCGGGGAGTATGAGCTTGTGGCCCCGCCCAGTGGAGTTACTACGTCACAACTCCAGTCTATTTCAAACGGCATTTTTGCGTCTGCTACTGATTCACAGCCATTTGAATGTAGAAATACTCAGAAATACAACTTTGAGCTTATTTTTCTAAAGATATGTCCTCTAACATAAGAAAAATGCCACAAGAACATGTTAACACCTAGAAAAACATTATTTTCATCGGAGTGGGTCTTTAAGTGCCAAAGATCTTATGCTACAAGCTTACTAAAATTAAATATACCTTAAAGAGTATGTGCTTATAGGGCGCGAAACCCAATTCTTCTGGCCAGAGAATTGCGTTTCCTGAAATCCTATAAAGTAAGATGATATTGTGGAGCCCCACAAATATTATCCTGACAATTGAGCTAATTAATTTTGCCTGTTTTGTGGGACGTGGTCCGTGTAATTAATTGCAATCAACTTGTGGTTAATTGCAGGGATACACGTGCAGGTAAAATGACATATCATCCCTTATCGGGAGATTTATTAACATGTAAGACTGATCTAATCCAAACATGTATGAATAATTATTAATTACCAATTATTAATTATGATATGCAAATTCCCCACGGATTAGATCCGCCCATGAGTCCTTACAACTACAATAACTAAACCGTGTCGTCTGTCACATAAGTTTATTTTAAAATGCAAAGTACTGAAAATCAAAATGTGTAAATAAAGCTCTGTAAATATTTTTACAACACTATACCGTAAGTGTGTCCCATCGGGTAATCAAAAGTTAAATGCACACTTGCTGTCTTTACGCCTACTTGAACACTTGGGCCAAATATGGGAAATACGTCATGCAAGTAAACAAGTGGTCAAGTGCAAAGACTGCAAAGGCCCAAAGTGTGTCTCAAGACTGCCTTCCATTCATCAGAGCTGTGCCTCTCCTCATCGAAACAGATGAAGAAAACATGTGCTATGCACAAATCAACTCAACAGGCGGAAAACTCAATCTGCCAATTTTACGGTAATTTATCAAGCTTAAAGACCCACTCCGATGAAAATAATGTTTTTCTAGGTGTTAACATGTTCTTGTGGCATTTTTCTGATGTTAGAGGACATATCTTGAGAAAAATAAGCTCAAAGTTGTATTTCTGAGTATTTCTACATTCAAATTGAGTTGTGACGTAGTAACTCCACTGGGCGTCTCCACACACGCGACGTCTTGGAGTGAAATAATGATCGGTGATCGGTGATAACTTTGATTAACTTCGGATAATAATAATTAACGTGTATATAATACTGTTGCCCCACCGGTATTGGGGGTGTAAGCTAGCGGGAGAGACAGAGCTCTCAGCAACGGGCAGGGGGAGGGTCGTCTCCGTGCCAACGGATCTGCCCACAACGCAGAGGCGAATTGCTAATGAGCTACTGCCGCTCTGCTGAAGCGAAGTCCCAGAAAACGGCACAGGTTTTGTGATTTTGGCTAAAAATGGCATAATCATAATTTAAAGACCACTGGGAATGTTTAAAAATAGCTCAAAATATGATCGGAGTGGGACTTTAATGTGTGAAATAACTGCCAATAAAGACATTATTATACTGAAAACCTTGAGCTACTCACTTTTGACAGTAACAATGAATCTTTGATTCAACTTCCCTCTGCTGCTGATGGTCTGTAGCTTATAGACGCCGATGTGTTCAGCTGTGATGTTTGTGATGGTCAGAGATCCAGTCTTCACATCCAGACTCAGTCTGTCTCTGAATCTCCCATCAGCACCATGATATGTAGAGATTTCTCTGGTCTCTCTTTTGATTTCAGCTATGAGATTCTCTTGAGGTCCAAACATCCACAGTATCTGATTATCTTTTTGTATTTCAGCATCAGTCTTCAGAGTGACAGATTCTCCCTCCTTTACTGATACGATCTTCTCTTCATCTGTCCAACAGCACATAAAAACAGAGAAATTGTAAAACTGTGGATTCTTGTCTTCTCTAAAATTGTGTTATTGCTTTAAAAGCTGTAATTCTCAGTATTCTAAATAAGTATAACTCATCTTTATTAAGTAGCATTGGTCCTATAACCAAAACTATATTTTTTATCTTTAATTTCTTCAAAATTTCTTCCATTACCTGAATTACTTCTGTACAAAATTGTTTTATTATTTTTTAAGTATAAAATATATGAGAGTAATGGGCTTTAAATTTGTAAGAATTAAGAAATTAGAATATGCCGGGCAGTCTGGTTGAAGAACGACCACTCCCTGAGAAGACAAATTTCTGGAAATCAACATTTGAACTCTCTCTTGTGAAATTAGCATCAACATTCGAGTCGCAAGTCTCAGCCAAGCATCATCCTAATCTACATCTCTTTCCCTTGACCCCCCATTCCCCCGTTCCTTCTCTCTCTCATGCTGAGATCACCTGAAATTCACCCAAAATTCTTTATGGTTTAATATGAACAATTATCTTGCAGTTTTATACATGCTTGGTATCATTTGAAATGTCTCAGTGCGACTGATACAAAGGTCTCATTCCCATAGAAGTAAACCAAAAAGGTAATAAGGTGTGGAGAGTTTAGAGATCTCTTTTTAACTGCTGTGAGTGTGCCCCATGTAAATCAACTTCTGTCCCCAGTTAAGTCTGGGACGGTGATTAATGCAAATTTCCACTGTGAACTCATGTTTACATTTGAAAAGAGGTTTCTGCCCTGGTCTGAGTATTTAAAGAGATGCAGCGATAGGCTCAATGCGATTTGTAGCTCAAATTATCCCGTGATGCGGAGTGTGGGCAAGATGGGCATCATGTATTTTCTAATGTCAGATTTGCATGTTCGCTCTTTATTCCAGAGCATTTGATGTTTTGTATTTATTATCTTTGAACTGATTATGAAATTGGCATGATACATTTACCTGACATAATAAATTGTTACATTTGATTTAATTCTGACGGACTCTGAAATTGTTTTCCCAAGTAGATTAAACGGATTCGTAAGTTACCGCAAGTCTGCGGTAAAATTTGGCACTAATTCAAGTGTACTTGGTTTGCAAAGACAAGTGAATTTCTGTTTAGGACAGCAAAATGCTGCTTGCCCAACCTAGATTTGGGTGTCTCGTACCTCTGTTTTAATTTAATGTTACTTTAGATAAGTGTACGTGGGAAACCACGGCATGGCCAATGCAAAGCTATTATAAGAGAAGTTGGTCTACTTATATCTGTAGTAGTGGCCATACCTCTGCCTGTAGTAAACGTTACTTTAAATTTAAGTGTATACAAAACCATGTGGGCTATACCAAAGTATCTTTGATTGTGTAAGCGTGAATGCGACCGATCTCAGGTATATAGCAATTGTCTGTTTAGTGACCAAAACTGACGAGTTTGTGACCGTGAAACCCACGTTAAACAGAAGGCGTGAGGTCCTCTGAGCCACAAAGCTTCCTAAGATGAACGGGTAAAATATAAGTTAAGAGTTCAAAAGAATAATCAAATGTGCTGCTAAACTATTATATAAATTACAAATAACCAATTGGCATTCTAACCTAAATTTGAGGTCGTGATAACATGAACTCAGATATAAAATGGAGCTTAAAAGCTTAAACGGAATTAAATCACTTTGCCACGCGGAAAGACAGTAACGTGCAGAGACCTTCACCCGTTCTATCGTAAAACCGCCATTGGACCGATGTAGACGGACTTACAAGTCCACCATAACTTCTCCAACATCCTAAAGATAATTTTTACTTAGAAGATATTTCTGGTGTTATAAAATATCATATATTAACTTTTCAAGCATATTTTTGCCAATATGGAGATTGCGTGGTTCTTAAATTTTCTTTCTGCGTGGTTTCTTAAACTTTGTTTAGAATCTCCTTCTGTTATTTTATTGTATAATACATTTTCCCATGTTATTTTAATATTATGTAAACTCGTACCCTTAATTTTTTTGAATATATTATTTATTATTCATCCTATCAAATGATCTACTCTATTAATTTTACTAACTTTAATCAAAGCACAAAAGAGGGTGAATATCATAAGTTTCTAATTCCTCCTTTAAATAACTTCTTATTTGAAGATATTTGTAAAATAGTTTTCTAGACAATACATATTTCCCCCCATGCTCTCAAATGTCTCCATCTCATTGTCTTCATAAATTTTAAAAGCTTATAAGAAATTAAAATCTCGGGAGTTCACTCGTTTTATTAGTACTTTTAAAAAAAAAAGTTGAAATACTTACACGTTTTACTTGGCTGTTTAGGTATCGTTTCTTCCTCTTTCAATTCAGTGGCTAGAAACAGGGAAATGAGAATATTTTAAGTGAGTTTGAAGATGAAGATAATGTTTGGTTCACCACAAGTGCTTTATGTGTTAACATTAGCTCTCATTAAAGTGAATTAATAAACAATATATGAAAACAATGTATATATTGTTAAATGGTCATGTATACATTTTTAATATTAACTAATATTAGCAGTATTTAAGGAAATTTCCCCCATACTGTTAATATTTCTTCATTAATTAAAAAAAATTATCACCTAAAAATGTCAATTCTGTCATCATTTACTTGACCTAATGTCATTCCAAACCTGTTTGAATTTCTTCTGTGGGACACAAAAGAAGATTAAACAAAATCTTTTACTTTGGTGTTCCATAGGGAAAATAACAGCATACAGGTTTGAAATGACATGAGGGCAAATAAATATTGTTTATTTGAGTCAACTGTGATTTAACAACAGCTTCCTGTTTTTCCAGCCTTCCTGTTGTCAGACGTCTCTCCAATGCTGGGAAACGTTTCCAATATTAAAACGGGATCAAGCTCTTTTCTGATCGTAACCCTTCTTCTTCCAATTATATTCCTCTGACCTTTTCCTCTTTGGTAATATCTCATGCATTTCTCTTTCTACAAATGTCCCACTTGCTCACTCTCTCTCCTCCCTCCATCATGAGTGGATACGCCCCCTACTGCTGATTGGCTACAAGAGTGTTTTGGTGCTCAGTCAGGGGTGTGTTTCCTAAAGCCAACTATGGTCACAAGTTCCGTTGTCACCAATAAAGTTCAATGGAACTTGTGAGCATAGTAGGCAAAAACTACTATTGGGAAACTCACCCCTGATCGATCCTCCTCACAAATAGGCACAAATGCATTTGCTATTTAAACAACGTGGCACAGGACAAGAAAATAATAATTGTGTCAGGCTGAAAATATCAAAACACACTTGTGTCGCGCTTGACGCTGCATTGCACTGGGTGTATGATAGAGCCCTTTGACTTCAAATTTCTTATCCTGTTGCACCCTCTATAGGCCATGATTAGCGACTAGTCAAGCTTAAGGTGTCATGGCAAAGCATTAGCATTTAGCACACACACAGAACAGACATCTAGCAAAAATTCACTTAACTGTTTGTTTGGGCATTGATTTCAATTTTCAACAGTATTTATCAGAAATCATATAGCTTAAATGTGAATAATTACTGACCAGATATGATGTGTAGACCAACTCACTCAGTATTAAACAGAAGCATCAAATCCTAAAAAAAAAACAAGTGCAGCGCCATCTTCAGGGTTTCTGTGTTAATGTCTGAAAGAATAAGCCAAATGAAGCCACACACAATGACACAAATAAAAGTCAGACAGCCCATGTTAAACTCAAAACAGCCACAGCAGTTTAGGATTTTATATTTAAAGTTTCTCAAGCTTAGATTTAGTTCTGTGAGCTTCAAAAGTAGAAGTACAAACAGGGTGACAGTTAAATGGTTAATGTCATGCAGCTCAATACTGGACAAACACATGCTTCATTGATTATTGAACTCAACTAATCACAAACAGAACATGTGGTAAAAAGTGCTGAATATGAAAACTACATTAGATCTCTACTGTCAGATAATAATCGAATTGTTCTCGTTGTACCAGGTTTAATACTTAGACGTTCTGATTTCTGTTTAGAGAATTTATCGTCTTGTCAGTCAGCACAGAAACAGAGAAAACAGGAGATAATATTGAGCAGATGTCAATAACAATGGAGGACTGAGAAGATATGGTGTGATTTTTCATGTTATTGCTTCATCATCATCATCACCATTTTTGAACTTGATAGCTTTATGTGCAGTTTAAGTGGTTATTTGCTAAAAATATTCCACTGTGCTGCAACGATTAAATATTATTTTTCAAAAACAAACTTGATTCATGATTCAAAAACATGCGACAACCAATGCAATTTACCATTAAAATTAATTATTTTCCTTTTTGACAGAAATGCTTTCTATCAACTATCATGGCATTAAAAATAAGAGCTCCCTAGGATGACATTTCTTACTTATTGGTAAAAAAAAATCTTGAACAATCCCTTTAAGTGTGCATAAACAACTTAAACTAACGACCAGATAAGAGGTGATAGATTCATTGACTCACAAGACATATCAGTGTCTACAACACTCTCAATATCATTCTCTTAGTTTTCAAACACATCTGTGAGGCGCTAGGCGGTCCAGATAAAATTCAAAATGGCCAAAAAACAACAGAAAGATCATGATTTAAGGCCAACTTGTGCAATCACAATCACAAGCAGAACTTGTGGTTAAAAATATATAACTATTGACTGTGGAAAATCTCTTGTTGTATGAGTTGTTATAATTACCCAATAAAGGTTTTGGAGAACAGATTTTGTGGCGATAGTAAAAAACACCAGCAGCTGCAGCTGAAAACACCAGCAGCAGAACAACAACTATTCCTGCTTTAGCACCTGGAGACAGAGCTGGTGCTGTAATGATAGAGAGAGACAGTCAGTAACACACACTAGAAACATCAGCACTATATAACCTGAGAGAACATCTGATAAGTATATCTTTGTGTTAATGATGGTTAATTAATTGCATGTAAATATTAAAATCAAATCAGTGATGAAGATCAAAGTTCATGTAGTCAGTATTTATCACAGATTTGTTTACAGGTGTCAGTAA